AGGAGAGGAGGAGTACAGCTCCCGCCCGGCGCTGGAGAAAGGTAAGTGTTTAACCCCTTCCTCTCTCCAGAGCCCGGCGAGAGGGGGTCCCTGAGGGTGGGGGCACCCTCAGGGCACTATAGTGCCAGGAAAACGAGTATGTTTTCCTGGCACTATAGTGGTCCTTTAAGTTTTTTTTTTCCCTGAAATTTCCTTCTTAAAATGAGGTGCGTGTTATACGCCGGTGCGTGTTATACGCCAATAAATACGGTATATATATATATATATATGTGTATGTATATCTCTATTCAGTGCTTTCAGTACTGTGATAGGCTCATTTTTGTGCCCTTTTAATGAATTGAATTACAGTCAGAATTGGCTTGCCCAAATTCCGACCGAATAAAATGGTATTTTACTAAATTGGTCCACAGTCTGTCAATATTGGTGATTTTGTTTGGTTACGTTTGAGAGTTTCATTGTGTATCTTAAATGTCCAGTCAGGTTGATCCCTAGTTTATTTCTTTATTATTTATTTAGTGGGCGTACCCTAATAATTAATCAATTATTTGGGGTGCCACAAATGGAACTCAAATTACAAACAACAGTTCATCCATTGTCCGTTTTAGTTGTTTTGATATTTGGTCATATGGCAATTACAAGTTACAGAATTCGGGTGACCCACCAATCACTGAATATTCAGATAAATTCTAATATGATTGAAAGTGAATGCACATGTCCACCGTCTATAGAGTAAAGCAGGTTGGGGTCATTGCCATGTTGTGGCATTAATTTCCACAGCAAGAAATGGGACTAGAATCCCAGTTGTGTAGTATACGTCTGTCCATTTCCCTTCCTCTCCATCCCTGGATCTTATATCTTCTCATACCATTCTAATTATTCCGCATAATGGAATATTATTTGGAGCGTCAGGAGACATGGCCAGTGGATACACAGCATAGAATATCTTTTGACACTTGCATGGAACAGGTTTAATACTGCTGTTTGGGTTGGGGATTTGTGGAACAGAATTCTGATATTCCATGTCAAAGTAGACCAGAATAACTAAACCACTAAAGTATGTAAGTTACAGTATGAAAAATGGGTCTTACAATCCTAATGCTGGTTATCTGGGAAGCAATATGTGCAGGTCTTCTTCTGGAAGTCAGTGATGGAGACTAAAACTTGAATCTTACGCAGGAGTGGAGCTTATACTTCACTCTGTACTACTGATATTTTGGGGAAAAAAACACCTTTTTTTTTTTGCACAATAAAAATACCGGGGTAACATATGGGGGTGAGCAGGACCAACAAAAATGAGCACCTTACACATTCTTTGTTACAATGTCCATAGTCATGGGCCAGCATGTGCTCTACAATGTCCTATCATGGGATCTCTCCTGTTGCACTCCAGGTATCTGATAATGGTAGATCTTACCCAATCCAAGGTGCCGCCAGGTCCAATGAGTTTATTTCTAGCTAAGACATTTACTTGCAGCGTGTAGCGAATGTGCGGAATAATGAGCTGGAACAGAAGAACAAAGGATTACAGGCACATTGCGTTCCATCCGTGAAATATTTTCACTGGTAATAATTAGAATTTGTATTCTTCCAATAAAACACATCCATATATACCCTAGGACCCCAGACACGGTGGTTTAAGAAGTCCTAATGAATCAGTGGACAGGATTATTCAGAAAGACTAGGAGAAGCTTAGCTAAAAAAACCTGAGATTTCTGTGCTGAGAGCATGGATGGCTTGTATGTCAAAGTGAGAACTCCCTCCCCAGCCAATCAGGTGGTGTGGTGCTCTATTTAAGAGGTCCTGATCCCTATATACTCCTTGTGACGAGACCAATTCGCCACTGTGCATTGGAGGAGCCTGGTTGCCTGCCTGCTGCCTTTTGACTATGGACCGACATTTAAATACTTTAATTTTCCTATGAAGAAAGGTCTTATCCTGTATTTCTGCCTGGCGTTCGGTAGACTCTCGGATTTACTGAATGAACTCATTTAACCCAGATAGCTATGCCATGGAGCCTATTCATGTAATAAAAGACTTTGGCTCCATGGCGATTGAACTGTATATGTGTGGTCTTGGCGCCATTCAGTAATAATGTGCGCTCAGACCTAAGCTATCTGGGGATATGTTGCATGTCTGTATTTTATGTAATAAATGTAACCTTGTGTATTTTACTGTCTTTTTACTGCCATGTGCTTAATGGAGTTTTGCCTCTGTCCTTGGAGATAATTGGATTACTTCCCAATTATCTTCAGGATATAAGACTCTGTGGAACTGGTTTTGGGCAGAAAAGCCATGCTTCATTTGGTCACAAAGGACTTCGATCTATCTTTTGAAACCAATGGACCAATTTGGATGATTTTGACATATGTTTGTATTTGGAGTATGCTGATTCTGAAAATGTAATGTTAATATATTTTTGCATATTTTTCAAGTTATGAATAATGTGGAAAAACTGTATTTCTCTGTCTGTGATAATTACATTACCCATTGTGTAAGGTAATTGTATCACAGGCAGAGGGGAGGATTTTGTGTGGGAGTGTCTGAGTGTATTGTACGTGTTTATTGGTTGTTTTCCAAAACCCTGTAGGTGGTACTAATGTGTAAGAATGCGTACATAAGAACAATAAACCCACAGCTCGGTCTGTTCCTGCTTGACCCTCAAAACGGAGCTTTGTCTCGTTTTTGGAGGGATTTATTGTATGCTGTTCCAGTTTGACTGCTAGGAGTGTAAACCTATTTGTATGGGTTTTCCTATTCAGCTGTTTACAGCATTCATATGCTTGAGAGCATTCATATGCTTCTCCGGTTCAGTGGATTGGTGTCTACAGTAGCTGTCTGTGTCTCTGGAAGGGGAAGGTTACTAAACGGCAGTTTAACCCCTTTTTTGCTCGGGGTGCCGTTACACTCCTGGAACTCCTAATGGCATATGTCCTGACTGCTGGGCTCTCATGAATGGACACATATCTCAAACTCGACAACAGAGCACTTCAATTAAAGGACAGGCTACCAGAATGGGAAGGCTACATCTTTTATGGTGTTTAAAAGAATAAAAACACTGTGAGGGTCTTTGTTGCAATTCAAGGTGAATTGCAACAAAGTCAATTTTGGCTACTCTGTCATTTTATTAAATAAGCCTATTTATCGCCAAAATATACAAATCCTAGTGACAGATTAGTAATTTGACAGTCAGGATATGTGCTGAATATCTATTCTATGCTGGAACAAAATGGCTAAATGTTATGCCCTTTAAAGAATACTCCAGCCACCATAACCACTACTGTTGCCATAGTGGTTATGGTATCAGTAGTGGCCTGGCACCCCACCCCCTTCCCATTGTAAGGAGTCAAAAAAGCATTTTAGAACAGTTTGACTTCTTACTTGGGGTCCACTGGGCACCACGACCCACCTTCACTACTATAGCAGTAGATCTGGAAGCTCTATGTCTGAACTAAGCCCTGCAGTGCATAACTTTGTTCATTGAGGAGTAAGATCAACTGCTATTCTCAGCCAATGAGCTAAGTCATGAACTGCAGGGCTTAGGTCAGGGGAGCTTAGAAAACCTTATGCCACTGTTTTTGACTATTTCTGAACTGGTGGAATTAGTCCTTACCTTGTACACCGGATGGCCCATTGGAAGCTGTCTGGTGGTTGCAATATTAAAGACCTCAGCGAAGAGATGGGTGTAAAGCAGGTGAGATACACCTTCATGGACCTGAAGCTCAGCATTGCGCACCCATATCTTGGCGAGGGTCCAGTCCAAATCAGAATCGCTGGGCAGGAAAATAGGAGTCGTTTTACCTGGCGTCTGACCTAACTGAAATATAGAAAATATTGATTGGTTTATCTACCATTCTACTCTAAATAATAACTTATCTACTCCCTCAGTTAACAATCTATATTGTATGTTGGCCTGGGCTGCCTGCTACTAAACTATAATGTCAGTTGGCCATTCTAAATCCTCTACCACCACTCTGTCCTGACATTTAGTTTGTTTGCTCCTTCCAATCCCCATTCCTGGCTATCAGTTTACCTTCTATTTGTATCACTGAAGTGTTGGCTTCATCTCCTGAATAGTGGTTGATGACAGACATGCATACACTCTCACTAACAGTCACACACATAGTAACACACTCCCTAACAGACACTCCCTGACATACACACACACACTAACAGACATACACTAACAGACACACACTCACTCACTCTCAGACACACACACACACACTAACAAACACACACTCACTAACAGACACAAACACTAACACACACACACACACTCACATTAACACACTCACTTTTTTTTTAATTCAACCCCCTCAGCCTCCTTACCTTTGGGAATGCTGGGGGGGGTTCTCCCTTTCCCTGGAGTCCAGTGTGGCTGCTGGGCGGGGATGTCATATTCCAGCTCCCTGCATCACTCTGCGGTGCGC